CGGTGGTGAGGGACTGTCGCGCAGGATTGACGCTTGAAATGGACCGTTTCTTGGTGCTTGATGAGCGGACACCATGCGATCTCTTGGCAGTTCACCGTAGCATGATGATCCTGAGTGAGGTAGATGGTTAGTAGGAAATTCTTTTTGCTAAAGCTGACAGTAAGCTGACAATGAGATAGCAATGCGAAAGTTTTTCACTGCTATGCTCTTCACAATGCACTGAGATCAGCCACTCACATACTCGGTCAGTTTGACTCAGTGCGCTCGAAATCCATGGATCAAAAAATTTATCAATTCGCTGTCTTGAATAGTGATGTCTCTATTCCAGTTAAGCTGCTCTATTCCTGTTCCATTCCAAGAAATGAAATAGAACAGTCCGCAAACGAGGAACGCGCAGAATAGTATAGAATAGGGTCGTTTTGGCGTGTAATAGAACAGAATAGAACAGTTTAAAAAAAGGTGGTATAGAGACATCACTAGTCTTAAAACAGTTCTATTTCTAGCTGAGAGAAAGCTTGCAATTGCAAATATGTTGGTTTTTGATGTATATTAAGACGCAAGCGTCATGAATGAGCATCACATGGAACCTCAGCAAATATAATTATACGAGTTCAGTGCATTACAGTGTTTTAGCACCGCTAATATAACCGAACAGCTAGCTCATCAAATTTTCGAATTCAATTAATCAGTATACCTCTAATTCTATCAGCTCTGTACAATCCATTAGTGGTTGAATAGTTCTGATTTCGATGCATTCCATACGTTTCACTTCGCCGCTCACTTGATCGTCGTTCACTTGATCGTCGCTCACTAAGATTTTGACATCGGCTAATGTAACAAACAAACGCCAACTCAAGCATTGTCCCGAAAACGAAAGATATGCATCCTACAAATTTGCTGTCAAGTAAGTGTTGATTATATAAGTGTATGAATATATGAATCGGGAATTCCATGAACCAATGAGCTGATTTTCGGTCAATCGATGAAAAGAAATTTAAGATAAAGATCAAGATGATTTCCTGAGGTGAGAAAAATAGCTTTTTTTGGAGCAGAAGCAAAATCTCTTTAAGTGACCGAGACGATCCAAGGCGATCGAACTCAGGTATTCCAAAGAGAACTGTGAGAAACCCCAGCGAACAGTTGACCCGTACTTTACTCAAACTGTTATTAATACTTCCGTAGTTCCACTTCTAGACCGACGAAGTTTGTGCTGTTCGCATTTTCATTCGATGAAGGGTGGTATCGTGAATGAAAATAATTGGATGAAGGTATTCTACGTATCGAAAACTTGCCAAGCATCCAAACATCCATTGCTTTTATATACGATACACGCGGCAGATTCTTGAGGATATTTCCAAACTGAAACGTGAGGGCCAGCAGAGATGAGACACCAACTGTTGTCCTTGCAGGCAATGCTTTCGGTTCCATGCAAAAACCAACCCAGCTCACAATTATGGTCAAATAGGTCGGTACGTACGCTTGCAATATGTAGAACCCGTATCGCCGCTTAAACGTAAACACCACCTGAACACGACGAGCATATAATGAATGTGATTATTTCGAAGGTTGGAACTCTAGCGGGGTTCAGCAGTTATTTTTTTCGAATGAATGACCTGTAGTTGATCCCAATAACCGTTCGGATAGAGCATAGTTTCGTTATTGGCCCTAAAGAAGACCATATCGAAATCGGGAAGTTGAATCTGTTTCATCAGAGTGACGGCCTCGTCCATCCACTTCAACTTCACTTCTTCACTGTTATGCGAATATGATTCAAAGACGAGAATGCTGCAATATCACACATTACAATATCACCATCTCCTAGCACAAGCGGTTTCAAGTCGTTGTTTCAAAAGCCCATTAAATCCGCAAGTTGGTGTTTCCATCAATATGGACAAGACACTGCTGGTGCCATTCTTGTAAACATAAACATAAATGGCGATCTCNAATTGATTGGCTTCCGTAGTTGATATGATTTGAGTCTGTGATGGAAGTAACAAAAAAGCGTAAAGGTACGTTACATACCACGACTGAGTGTCAAATGGAAAAGTCCTGAGATCAAGGTCGCAAGGCGCCTTCACTGACATTCTGTAGTTAATCCACACGGTTCCATTCTGAAAAAATACGTCGAGATAAAATCCGCGAAATTCTCTATGTAATCTGTATATTCGGCTAAATTCATTAAGAAATTCCTCAGAGACATCGATATTCTCACAGATTTAGCATTGCATTATAGACTAACGCTTAACGGGAGAAGGAAAATAAACTTTGATTGCATTTGGCCAGCATTAATGAAATTTTGCACGACAAACAGAAGGTTATGCCATCGTTTTCTTCCGTGAGCGACCGCATTCCCCACCAGAAGAACTCAGAAAATAACTGGATAACTAGAAATAACTAGACATAACTAGAAATCGCATTATGAAATTGCATGCAATTTATCGTTCGTCAGGAAATTTTGGTGAGAAATGATCCGCTTCCGTAACCACTAGAAGCAAAACACTATGGCCGTCGCACTTATTTGGTTCTATTCATTGAGTTTAAAAACGGCTAAAAGGATATTCAAAAACCTCATAAAGTATAAACATAATGTTGGCAGTGGGCGATGAGTGAATCACTGTTCGCTTTGAATTGATAAGGCACGTATTGGGCGTCCAAATCGAGTTGATATACCTAAATGATGAACTACAGGTCAAATTTCTCTTAACTCTTTGGAATATCGCACTTTTAAGCTGCTTGCAAGCATTTCTTTTGCAGATAATTTTACATTCCTTTACGAGGCCTGATTGGGAGAAAAATATCAATTGCGTGTTCCACTTAAGCATTGTTCTGGATCAAAAATTGCCATCGTCAGTTGTTGCTTTCCCAGTCGACCGCAGTTCAGCATTAAGAATTGTTATTGTGAACACCCTAGCTTGGTTGACCCAGTAATTGATAAAAGGGATGAACCGAAGCCGAATTCACAAAGTTTGTTGTGAGAATATCTGTCGCGACGTAGCTCGAAAGATATAATTCGTGAGAGACACCAAAGTGATATATGAATTCAACCTTTAAATCTGTACGTTAGCTGTATATGTATAAGATGTAGACGGATATCATGCACTATCGATTCGGATGCCGAAATGTAACATTCGTATATCTCACTTGGAGGATCTCCTCCCTTTTGTGTTGGTATGATATGAATGCTTTGTGTTTCGATAATATAAAACAGTGTTATTGCAAAATAAACGCCGAAATCCAATGTACGAACACTCATTGGCATAAAGTGGTGTCTTGATCAGCCGATATCGCGAAACGTATCTGGACCCATACGAGTTTGATAGCACTGCGAAATCGCTTTCATTAACTCGATCAAGATCTTTTAGTGATAATTCGATTGGAAATCGTTGATCACCAATGGGACTTTGCATTCAGTGTCAAAATCGTGAGCCCAAATAAGCTATCAGCGAGTGAGCAAGAATTTTGGAATGAAGATCAACTCACCTCGATTCCATTGTTATGTTATGTTTGCAAGACGTGTAATTAGCGAAACTGAGTGCCGTATCATGCCACAGTTGCGAGAATAGAATATCAATTTCAAAATCAGAAGTGATTTCGTTCAACGACGAAACATCCTGAAGAATAGCCTAACCTTTTAGTGCATTAGTTTTCGTTGATAGTCTCTTCTTTAATGATGGTTCATATTCTATGCTTTTTTTCAAAACATTTGTTGATAATTTTTCCGATAGTAAGTATAATTGAGCACCGTCTTTGAGATTAGACAATATTAATTCGAGCA